AAATGAATGAATACAGTAACAATCTAGCCAAGAACAACTAATACTGATAGTTTGTTTCCTATTTTTTCAATAAAAATTTGGGAGATTCTTACCATATTGTACCAGGCACTAACGATTAATTTCTCCTCCGTTTCCCTTTGACTTTTTGTTTTCTCATATTCTTTCTATAAAACATCAAAAAACCAATGTTTAATAACTAGTATTAGTCTCTAACTAAAAAACAAAGAGCATCTACCACAAAACATGAGGATTACTACCTCCAGGGAATGAAACATTCTGTCCCGCTCCTGCAGTTGATTTTTCAGTGCCTGAATCTCAGGAGCAGCACCCTGGTTCTGTTTAGGATCTAATGTGCGGATAACCTGTAAGAGAAAACCAGTTTGATCTTCATTAAACCTTGCAAAAGCAATCTTGTTAAGGAAGTAGAACCTTTCGAGTCAGGTTAAGAAATAAAAAAGTGACTTGAAATGTATCAGTAGTAAGAAGTGACACTCCAAAGTGTGAGAGAGAGGGACGTGCAATCTTAAGTGACTCATGTAAAACGATTTCCACAGCCAGAATGACAGAGGCTCTACCTCTCTCATCAACCATGACACATTAGAGCCCCTGAAAAGGGCCCTCTCTTACAGGACTGCGAAGCAAAACTACCTACAGGAAAAAGTAACATCTAAAAGGTTCAGTATTCCAGATTCACATAGCAGTTCCTAACTCAGGCTGCACTACCTGAGGCCACAGTAAAGAAACATCTTCTATAAGGTTTCTCTCTTTATAACTAAGGTTTTACTATCGCTCAATTTCTCCTGCTTAAGGAATAGCTGCTTTGGTCTTTAGGGATATTTGCCATGATTCACCTACCCGGTGAATGACAACCAGGTGCTGTCATTTCGAGATAGCCCTGTTAAGCCAAGAAGCATTCTGTGGCACATGCATCATCGTTGTGTTACTAGTAGGACGAAGGGACACCTGGTTACCTTTGTATGTGGCATCCATGATGCCCAGCATGAGTGCTAGCAAACAAAACTAAACCAACAACAGATCCAGAAAAATGCCTAAATTCCCAACCCTTCAGTAGAAAATGACTTAAAACTTTTCAAGAACCTCTGACTGCAACCCAAACTGGCCAAAGGAATGTTCCACACCATATAATGTCATGCTCAGTAGATAAACTGGGACAATTACCCTCAAGGTGGGCTGATCTGTGTTCAGGAAGGGGGGCTGGCATCAGCAGGTGGTGAGCAACTGTATTATGCATCACTTGTTTGGGTTTTTTTCTTCCCATTTTATTATCACTATTATTACTATTTAGCCTCATTACTGTATTTTACTTTGTTTTCAATTATTAAACTGTGCTTACTGCAACCTACAAGTTTTACTTTTGATTCTCCTCCTCATTCCACCAGAGTAGTGGGGAGGAGGAGTGAGGGCTTGAGTGAGCAGCTGCATAGTGTTTAATTTCCTGCTGGGCTTAAACCATGGCAAGGTACAAAGATCACTTTACGTGGAAAAAGCATCAATAAAAGAGTTATGAAATCAGGGTATCTTCTGCAGAATTCATCCGTATTAGGTACTGCAGCAATGAGAAGATACACAAAGAATGCACTGGGCCTTCCTTCTTGTTTATTGGTGCCTACAGATACCTCCTACAGAGTGGACATGTAACACAGTGTCAGAGAGGGATCATTAACATGGAACACATGTACTTACGCTTTTGGCCTTTTCCAAATACTTTTTGTATCGTTCTTCCATTTGCTTCATTTCCTCCTCTTTTTTCCGTAAAGCTTCTTGTAATTCTTCAATTTTAAGTGCTTTATGCCAAGAGATGCACACATTGGAAAACAACATCATTATATTATGCATATTTCCACGTCTTACAACAGCCATTTAAGGCACAACCAAAATAAATTTGAGTTAAGAAAAGCTCACATAAGGAACCTGATATAGCAGACACCAGTTCTAACTACTGAACAGCTCAGAAACACACTAAAAAATGTGTACTCCTGCATAACCTCATCTGATGGCTGTTTTGTACACAAATATTGCTTTTTAAAATTATGAAAAATAAAAAGAAATTGAACCAGTCCCATCACTGAACACACTTAGAAAATTAGATTCTATCTTGGCATTGCAATACAGATAAATATGATTTTTCCTATTTTATGTAAGAGGAATAATTCTTAACAGGCAGAACTCTTGCTTATATCTGCTAAACTGTAACACCGGACACAACTGATCTGATTCGTGAGATGAATACACTAAATTTAATTTTCCCCTCACATTTTCCTAACCAGCAATGAAGACAATTCCACTGCACAGCTTTTGCCTGTGTTGGCTTAAGAATGTGTCAAGCCACTATTATTTCTACATCTTCTATATAACTTCTCAGATCCCAGAAAAAAAAATCTGATGTTTTTTTCTATCTTCCTTGATATCTTTATGAATAACACCATTTCACCACAAACAGAAAAGCTGTGATTGGTTACAGTCTTTTGCCTTGTTCTATTATAAACAGTCTTGGGAAAAAATCTACACTTCCTCCTTCAGTACTTCTCATGAAAAAAAGTAGCAATAACATGCTAAAAACAACTAGATGTTTGGTTCCTGATAGCATATGATATATATCTTACATTTTCTTTGACCAGTGACTGAAAATTTTCTCAAATTACAAAATGTTTTAGAAAACACACAGAAGGAATATACAATGAAAGTAAAAATAACCTTGTGATGGCAGCAAGTATCTTCTAAATTAGGGTCTTAGGAGACATGCCAGTTCTGAACAGCTGAGGTTCAATGGCAGGTATGACAGTGACTTGGTATTCTACAGCCATTGTCATTTCTTACTACAGTGGTCTCTAAAAGGTGATCCCATGCACTTCAAGTGTTAGAAGCATCATTTTGCTCACCATAGTTCCCAGAGAAATTTGCAATATGCACATCACTTCCGTTAAAAATGTACATTTTGCTTACCTGATGCCTCCATTAGGTACTATAATTAAAGACCTTGCACATGAAATACTTTACAAAGAAAAGAAATGGATTGCACAGGTAACTCACAACTGTTATTGCATCTTGGTTCCAAATCTTCAATAATAGCTCGTTTCTTCTGTAGCTCATTGTTAGCTTCATGCAGCTTCTCACTGTTACAAACCACAAAAGCACACAGTGTTTTACCAATATTATTACTGTCCTTGACTGTGCATCGAACAGTATTTAAAAAAACCTCAGACAGCGATATATTTCTGACAGCAGGACTGATTTTTGAGGTAGGAAATGAGGACAAATGACAATGTCACCGTGGAAATGTTTGTTAAATAAGATCAAGAACATTATTGTGTATGGAGAACTGCAAAAGCAAACAGCTGCTTTCTCAGTAACTGTAAACTTAATTCAGAACTTACAGCTAATTGTACAATGAGTGCCTAAAATGAATACACATAACTGACATCAAATTGAGAAAGAATGGCTAAATCCAAAGGCAACAGAAACTTTTTTGGGGGGCTTGGTTGGGATTTTTCAGAGGCCAGTCAAAAAGCAAAGATCTCTTTGCATTTTAGGAAAATAAAAGATGTGCAAAAATAGCACAAAAAGATGATAGCACTTCCTAAAGTATTATCTTTTGTGCCATCATGTACATTCAAAAGTAAACCAATTTATTTTATTTATACTATGCTTTCCCCAAAACAAATTTACTTAGTCCTTTTGAGCAAAGACTGACTTACACAATGTGAAGCAATGTTTTCTAACCAACACGAAATTATCATAGAATCATAGAATTTTAGGGGTTGGAATGGACCTTACAGATCATCTAGTCCCAGCCCCCTGCCCTGGGCAGGGACACCTCCCCACTAGATCAGGTTGCTCAAGGCCTCATGGTCCTTAATTACTCTTACTGTTTTCACAAAGGTCAGATGAAAATAGTATCTGAACAGCAGATTCCCAAACATTCCTGAGTTACCTAATCTCTCTCAGTTGTGTATTTTCGAGATCCATGACATAGTAACTGCCTGCCTTACCATATACGAAACATGTAATTTCAAATGGCAAACAAAATAGGCAAACTAAAATACTTACAGATGTTCTTCGAGTTTCTTTTTCAGAAGGCTTGACTAAAACAGAAAGTTAAATGTTTTAATATATTGTGAAGCTTTAACATAATTTTCAAATTACTTTAGAACATGTAATTTTGACATTATAACCAAAATTAAACTTCTTTTACTTCAGTTTTAGATCACAACTGCAAAGCCACGCTTTGTGGTAGAAATCTTTCTCTCCACAGCTGTATGACTTTAATGAAATCAGAGCACTTTATAACTTTGAAAATATTTTCCCAGGAACTAGATCAATAAAAGCAAGATCCATAAATTACAAAGTTCTATGGAAGTTTTTTAAAAATTTATTCAGTACTTTCGTAATTAGATTTAACAAATTAATCTCAGATTGGAAAGTGCAGCAAAATTTGCAAGAGCTGTCCTACCAATATTGCATTGCAATTTGCATGAAGACATGTAGCAAATTAGTTGGAAGTAAATTCCCATCCCCATAGAAACTAGAAGGAATAGAGTGTTTTTAACTGGAGTATAGCAGAAATTTTACCTTTTTTCTGTTTCTCATCTGTATTGACTATTGATACATAATAATCACCATACAACTTACAGTGTTCCACTTTCTGGTTAAACCACATTTAAACAAGCTCTTTGAATAAAAGCTTTGAAGTAAATTTTCTTTTAATTTTAAACACCACTGCATACACAGTGAGTATCTTTCAAAAAAACATAAATCAAATAAATGTCTATGAACTGAAAGTAGTGTTAAGTAAATAGAAAGCCATACTCACAATAGCCTTGAGCAGAAGCCCATGCCAAGAAACAGAGATGACATTAGTATAAAGCAAAACAGCAGCCAACAGAAGAAACTATTTAGAAAGTCATGAACAGAAAAAGTTAAAGCTATGTATTTTTTCATGCATGAGCATTTTTTCCACTGTTCTCATGAGCAACTTAATCCTGTAACATTTTCTAAAACATACCACTAAACCCAAAAATATAAAATTAATAAGCATATTTATAAACCATTGTGCTTAAACCAGAATTTCAAAGGACAACAACTGCTACTTTGGAAAGTCAATTAAAAAGAAAAATCATTTGGTTAACAAAATGGAGGAAAATATGCAGCCTGTTGGGCTACAACCAAAATTAAGAGATGCAGGTGTATTTGTGGCATGATGCTGAACTGTGTTATAGCCACAGTGACTGAATCCAAGGCAAATGTAGAATCTTTAAATCCAAAACTGCCTTTTAGGTTTGTATTTATGCAGCACTAATCACATGGGAGGTTTAGCATGTGACTGATGGTCCAGAACACCATCAAAATATGAGATAAAATCATCAACAAAATTACTTTATTGCTTTTTCTCCAATGTTCTTTCAACAGAGGTTTAGACACCTTTCCAACAGAAGCAAATACTGTGTGCACTCAAAAAGCTTTTATCTTGGTTATGCTCCAAAATATTGTCTTTGATCACATTCCTGGGTCATGCTTTTTCATTACTTCCAATGAGATTTTCTTAATTGCACTACAAGAAAGGTAGGGAGCCATAAAACCAAACCAGCATGATGCTACTGACTGCACTGTCAGAAATCTGTAGCATCTAAAGATCTGCAGGTTTTGACCATTTGGCTTGTTTCTTTCCCAGTCCTCTGAACAACTGCAGCACCCCCTTTTCTGTAACTATAAATGTTTGTATGCATCCTTCTTGGTCACAAATCATTTGAACTGACACCATCACTTATGTCTGATCATTTAGTGGACTGCTGGCTGGCTTGGACAAGAAAGGGAAAAGTTGGAAGCAGTGTCCATTTCCCTAAGACTAGAAAATCAAAATTGAACTCAGCTTTTCTTCTGCAAGCCTTGTATTGACCTTTGGTTCAGCTTGGAACAGAAATAACTACGATTCTACATTGATTCCACTGGTATATTTCCCTACGTATTATTTGCCTAGTACTTGCACTGCTGTGGGAATAACCCCTTCTCCCATCCAGGCAGATCATATCTCCTCACAAGCAAGTGACAAACAGCAGAAACAGAAGAAGCAGAACTGAATTTACCCACAGTAATTTACCCAAGACTAGGAAAAAGTCTAAAACATAAAATGTGCTATTTTAGCCACCCAAAGACCTTGTAAGTATTTGCAGCAAAGCAGATAAATTCAAATAAAATACTCTAAATTACTTCTGGGTTTTCTGCAGTCTCAGTAAGCTTTAAAGGCACATTACAAATCCTCTGCTCTTAAAATCTACTTACTATAATTGTTGTTCTCTCATAGGAAGACTAGTTTCTGGAAAAAAATTCTAATTAAAAAAACCCCTTTATCTAATTCTGACCTAGCTTTTCATTTAACTTCATTCAAATGTTTTATCTGTTTGAAATAAAAGTGCTTTTCTATAACAAAACTGTAAAAATCAGCAACTGTTGATTCGCTAGTCTGCTTTTTCCTCCCACTGCAAGTAAGCTCCACCTGCAAAGCACCAGAAAAAAATTACAGTGTGGTTTTAGAAAACACGTATCCTCTTCAGTATTTAATTGCTATCTTTCTTTTACATTAAAAAAAAAAAAAAAACCCTACAGAAAATAAAGCCTCTTGGATATTTTTTTCTTGCTTACGCAAGCCAAAGGAACAGGTCTGTCCCTTCTTCAGGACTGAATTTGTTGTTGTTTTACATGTTAAGGTCACTGGCAGATGGCTAAACTCTGGCTTGAGATTAAGCTAACTTAGCAGGGTGAGGGAAATTGAGGCACATCACTTCAGAAAACTGCTTGACGAGACTGGTAATGCTGTGAAAAGATGAGCAAAGTTATAAACAGCACCATGAGGGGTGGTCGGATTTCACAGATGCTGAGTAATCATAGAATGGTTTGGGTTGGAAGGAACCTTTAAAGGGCATTTAGTCCAACCCCCTGCAGTTAGCAGAGACATCCTCAATTAGATCAGGCTGCTCAGAGCCCTGTCCAACCTGACCCTGAATGTTTACGTGGATGGGGCATTGACAACTTCTCTGGGCAACCTGTGCCAGTGTTTCACCAAAAGAGCAAAGTGGCTGGATTTCACAGGGAACTAACAGGGAACAGAGTTCTAGGGACCTTTTAGGGAAGTGTTGTATCAGTAACAGCATGTGAGGTCAAGATTGCAGATGCAACAGTACGAAGAAACATCACACATGGGATGGGTTTAGCATGACTAGGTCCAGTGGGGCAGAAGTAACTAAAGGCAGGGTGGTTATGTAGGAAGGGATTAGGGCAGAGAACTGAGAACAAGGAAGAGAAAAGATGGTGATGATAAGGCATGCAAATAATGTAGTCAAAGCTGCTCAGGGTAACTGTTGAGCAGCCCCCACAAATGACTAATGCATTCTGGAGGACAATAAGTCAAACCTATTCTGACCACACCAGACATGCCTGAGTTGATTCTGTAGTCTGGAAGACTGAGGTAAGGAAGCCTTTCTCTGGCTAGAGAGGCACCAGCCAGGATGGGCTAATCATCCCAACAGAATGTGTCAGTGCTCATTACAGCACTGATAGCTTTCAAACAGCTGCCTTCCACTGCGCCTGAAGATGAAATCAAACTACTTTCCCATGTGGACCTTGGCAAGCAGCATGTACCACTGCAATGACACTTGCCTGGGTTAGGACAGTACTTTCACTGCTTTTTGGGCAGGTCTAAAAATAAGTTCTACTTTAACACCAAACAAAACTCAAAAAAAAACCCTGAACAACAAAAACCAAAACCAAGCCTTCATCATATGCTTCTGGACTAAATTAAACTGGGGTTTTCAGCTTTCTAGGTTGAGCATATTTACAGTGTATGTATATAAAAATATGGATTTCAGTGCATTGTTACAGAAAAGTAGGGAAAAACAGAGGAAGCATATAACAATGATGCATCAATGAACTGTATGTCATGTCTCTCCTTGCCCTTTTTCTCACGCTTCTGAGGAACGACTCTTTTTGTGTGGGTATCTTACAGATTACTTAGACAGTCCCAGTACAAATTCCATCTACTTGAGCAGCTGGGTTTAACAATTGAGGTTTGCTCTACTTTGTCTGAGAAGTGACCATAATATCAGAGGTTACTGCAACCTCAACACTCCTCAGAGTCTACACTCACTCTTGCTTCCCTAGGAGTAGATGAAATCCTACACACTGGAATCAGCATAACAGGCCACGGGACTAGTGCCTATAAATCACCACTGGCATGGTCAGACCTACACAGAAGCCATGAGTGCAGGAACTGCATCATGACCTTGCCAGCTCTGATTTGACAAGGGCTGCCTGGTACACAGAGCAGGCTGTACCGTGGTGCTGTGCTGTTTCACAGAATCATCTCAGATGATGCCCTACATAGGCGGCAACTGTAAGCAAGTTGCAGGCACATCCTAAATCACTGCCCCAATCAGAGCCTCAAAAAGGTACACAATTATAACTGCATTAAATAAAGCTGACTTCAATTAGACAGGGATCAGTTATAATACTCAATATCTGAGAATAATTTTTCCATATCCTTTTTCACCCTGAAAAATTTTATTGTGGCCAATAACCAAGACAACAAAGAACATTTCAGAATGGATCGATTTTAAAATGCATTTTAAAACACATTCTAAGTTACTTATAAAAATAATCTTATTGGAACTTGACTAGATGTTTTACTTTCATACAGTTTATTCTGGAATTAAAAGGATAAGCTGAATTAAACACACTCTTAAATTACTATAAGCTGCTAGTAAAAACCTCTACTATTTTATATAAATTAGTTAAAACGAAACCACAAAAATAGAAAGCAACACGTTACAATTTGTTGCCAATTAGCAACACAATACACTGAGATTGTGACCATACACTATGCATGTACAGTCCAACAGACCACTGCTTTCAAGAAAGTTCTAGAGCTTCTTTTATCAAACACAGGAGATGACAAACAATTTGTGAGTGGAAGACTGAAAGTTGTTTTCCACACTAACTCTGCTACAATATGTATCCTTACATATAAAATAAAGTTAACTCTATATACGGAAACAGAAAATGCTGCATCATGTGGAGGGCCTAATTATTTGACTTTTTGTTTCATTTTGGTCTGCCTGACATTTTCCATAATGAGCTACATTTATATCAACAATTGCAGAACTTCCACTGCCTGGAAAGGCCTTAACTTTCATCAAGAAGACTAAACCAAAACTTCAGATACTTTATTCATGGAGAATCAACATTTCCTTAAGTACTTGTAATACCCTCTATTTCTAATTTAATAATTTTAATGCTAGGTTTACTATTGGAACAGAAAAAAATATTCAAATCAAATGTATTTGACACCTTCTCTATGAAGGATGGTTTTCTTATCAAAACAAATGTCTTACATCCTAGTTAGAGAAGCACAATTTAGCGGTAAGACCATACAAGTAAATCTGGAAAACTACTAGAAATGTCTGTTTGCATATTTCTTTTACATATTTTTTTACAGAAAGGTGAAAGTTTCGAAAATGGTAACTGCTTGAACGTAAGTTTGATGCACATTTCTACTTACATCTTCAGCTTTTGAACCTTGATCCTGCAAAGATTTTTGTAGTTCTTCAACCTGGGACTGGACTTCTAGAAGTCTCTGATTTACCAATCTAAGAAAGAGAGAATATTTGCTTTTCATTAAAAAACAGCTGCAAGAGGAAGTCTAAGATTTTTAGCACCCAATGTCTTCAGGTTAACCTACATAAGAGATGCAATACTGTCATTTATTCACAAAAAATTTACAACAGTAGTTAGAGCTCACAGCAGTTCAAGAGATTATAACCTAGCATCATCTAGAGCATTCCGATACTCTTCCATGCATGGAGAAATCCTTTCTGTGTACATGAAACAAGAATTTCTAACGGTCAATTTTACTGCATGACAGCTGCTAGCTTACTACCTTTAGACAGTCACAGAATTCCTACAAATCTGTAGGTTGGAAGAAATCTCCAGAGGCTGTTTAAAGCCAACTTTCTCCTTAAAACAGGTGCCCTTACAGAAGATTGCTGGGAGCATGTCCAGTACCAGGTTTGGACACCTTTAAGGACAGAGGTCTAACAGTCTCTTTGGGCTTCTCTTCTAGAGCTCAGGCCAGAAGTCCATACTGTGTGTGTTGCCTCTTGCCCTTCCACTGATAATCTCTTGAGAAGAGTCCAGCTGTCTCGACATCTTCCCACCAGGCAGATGGAGATCACAGTATGATCTCCTCTATGCCACCTTTTGTTTGCTTGAACAAACCCAGACACTTGCTCCAGTGTCTCTCATCTTAGCAAGTATTCTGCTGCACTCTTATACATCCACGTCTCTATTGTACTGGGGAAGCCAAACTTACATGCTATGTCCAGATATTGTAAAGTACTCACGAAAGGTGCACAATCCCTTTCCCAGACTGACCGACTGCACCCTGGTGAGGACAGTTCAGATCACAGTCATCTGCAAGGTTCTCAGTTTGCTGCCCACTAGGACACCAGAACTTTTGCAGCAGAGCTGCTCCACAGCCTACTGGTCCCAGCAAGGGACAGGGCTCCCACCTGCTCATTTCTCTGAACTGCTGAGCTGCTCTGAGTAACAGCTCTCCCTTTCAAGATATCAATCACTCCTCTCAAAGTGGTGCCATCCTCAAATTTGCAGAGTGTAGTCCCTCTCATTAGTCAAGTTGATAATAAAGGTGAAGAACAGCACGAGACCTGGTATGGATGCCTGAGGAACTGATTGCCACTTGGGTTTCGTACTACTGATAATAACACTTTAGACACAGCTGTCCCAGCACTGTTCAATCAATTTTCTGCTCACTTTACTGTCCACTTACTCAGTTTACATCTAACTATTCTGAACATATGGATCCCATTGGAAACTGTGTCAAAGGCTTAGCTAAGCAAAAGCTTAAAGGCAATAGCTAAGCTAAGTATTGTCCTCTGTTTCACCCTTCTTCACATTTGCAATCATGCTATTGTCAAGACAACTGGATTAGTTTGGCATGATTTGTTCTGAACAATTTCACACTGCCCTTTCCCAATTACTTTCTTGTCCCTCATGCAGCTGGAAACAGATTCCAGATGGATTTGCTCTGTGAAATTCCCAGAAAGCAAGCTGTGGCTGACCAGTCTCTTGTTGTCCTTTAGACTCTCCTTCTTGCTCTTGAAGGTTACTGCAGTATTTATCTTTTCCCAGGCTTCAAGCACCTTCCCCAATCAAAGAGGAAGATAATGGAAGCCTAGATAGAGAGCAGCCTACATCAATACCAGCCAACTACCATGGCATGCCCAGACACATGCTGTCTGGTTCCATGGATGTCTGTATGCTGATGGGCTCAATCTAGCAGGGTCAGCTAGAGCAAGCTGCTCAGAACATATCCTCTTGGGTTTTAAATATCGTCAAGGATGGAGACAACCTCTCTGGGCAACATATTCCAAGTGTTCAGCAGCACTTCCAGTAAAAAAAAAAAGTATGTTCTTACATTTAGATGAAACAAAAAGTTTTAAGCTTTGCCTACTGTCTCATGCCATTACTGAGATTCACTGAGAAGAATCTAGTTCCACTCATCTGCTTTAGACTCTTCCATCAGATACTTATAGGCATTGATAAGATCTGACCTGGGTCTTTTCTTTCCCAGGATATATAATCTCTATCCCTCAGGCTCTACTCATAAGAAAGATGCTGCAGTTCAGTAACCACATCCTCATGGCCAATCACAGGACTGACTCCACTAAGTCCATATCTTTCTTGTGCTGGGGATGTCTCTATTGGACACAGCACAGTCAAAAGTATATGGCACTCAACTGAAACAGAGGACAAACATCTTACCTGTTTTCTGTCTCCAGTTCATTCTTACGTAAGTTTGCATCATCAAGAAGGCTCTGCAACAAGGCAATCTTTTCATTGTCAGAACCTTCTTGGTTCAATTTTAACATCTTGTTCTCATGCTGAAGGCGAATGAGTTTCTCCCTAAATACATAAAACAAAATTTTGTAGCAAAATGAATGCCAGTGGCTATAACAAAGAACTGTCCTGGGTTCCAGTTTGGGGGATATCCAATGGTATGTATTCTATTATCATCTCCACAAGCTGTTAAAGCAGGTGGGGCAGTGATCGTTATCACCTTGTCCCTCCCTCAGGGGGCTGTCTCTGATTAACCCTCCCAGTGATCCTCATCCTTGCCCCATGGTGAGGTGACTCACCCCAGGAGTGTGGAGCCAAACATGCTCACAGGTATATAAGCTGGGGTTTGGACCAGCACAGGGAGCCCTTTGCCTGCTGGATTCCCAGAGGACAAGAGCTGCTGCTGGA